ATAAGAGTGCAAACCCCACCCTGTGCCGCCAATGCCTCAGGTGGCGAAAATGCTATTAGGACCACTGCATAGGGTGAAGAGTTTTGTAGTCCTAATATACTGCTTGATAAAATTGTTTGAGACTGCAGAGTGCACAGGAAACAGGGCAAAACTAGATTTCAGGTATTGATTGAATAGATATAAGAAAACCCTTTCAATTCTATATCTAACCCCTTGCAACCACTGTGCGCGAGCACCTTCATGTGGGCGGTGATGCTGGAGGCCAGTAAGATTGGCTCCCATAAACTGGCTGCACAGTGATGACATAATCGGTAGCCCATCCTACCTGCTCCTAAATGTCAGCAGTTGACCGGGAGCTGCTGATGACAACTCGGCTACAGTTTGAGTGCAACACAGCGAGTCATATATGCGGCAGCTGGGCGTTAAGGTCCACTCAGCGTGCTGCTGCATATACTGTACAGTATGTGTTATGCTGACATAGAGGTGTTATCAGATCAAAAGGGAGCAAATAAGAGAACTTCATTGTAAGATTTTACCTACACTTTAAAGTATGTTGTAGAATAAATTGTAGAAAATCAGAACACCCATTGGTAACTGATATAAATACTCCAGACAGGGTTCCCAGGGGGTATTGATCCCTTTCCTCAGTTCTCCAAGGGCTCAGTTCTCATGGCTGTATTTACCTGTGTATGGAGCATGATTAATCATATTGGTGAACTACAGGAGACTAGTGTCAGTGAGGCCAACAGTCAGTCTGATTTTCCTCTTATTTCCATTGTATTGGCAAAGTTAAACAGCAATCACCCGGTACTCCTGTCTCATAATACTGCCTCATGTCAGGACACTTGTACAAAATTTTGATTATTCAAAGTTAGTTGAATAGGTTGAGAAAAGACAATTTCTGAATGATCAGAATGAAGTGTATGACAAATGACAACCACAATGACAAGTGCATCTTGGCACTGGTGTCAGATTTGTGCATGCACAATGACCCACAATCACCTCTAGGCAGATTGTACCACCCTCTTCATCAATAAAGACACGTTATCTGTTCATTTCTGGAGTGCCTGTGTCTCAACTATATTTTGTGCTAAGATGTTCTGATCCATACTGCGGAACCCTGAAAACAGCTAATTAGTGCAGAGGATGTAGGGGTGTGAAATCTGTTCATCCTCTTGTTGGGTACATGAAAGGCTTGTTGACCCAGAACCACTGGCCAATATTTTTAAAGCCTACACTTGAAATAGATGCCATTTTTCACTGGTCCACCTATTAGACCTTGCCCCAGTGATCCCTTAAAGGAAACTGACACTGAGGAAGTATGAAGGTTGCACTGCTGATGTAGCTTCTGAAAATGCTTGTTGCCTGGGTGTTATGTTGATCTAATGGCTTCATACTATTTGGAATACAAGTATGTAAATATCACACCTTTCTGAGAGAAGAAAGAGGGACACCTTCCAGCACAATGTTTTTAGGTGATGGACACGCACATGCCATGTACCCAGTTATGCAGACCATTAAAAATGGATATGCCAAAAATGATTGGTTAGACCAAGAATTGTTGTTTTCCATTATTACTTTGCCTTTATACTGCCGTCACATCAAACAAGATACTTAAGAGATAAGATACGGTTTTAGTGCAAAATACTGTAGATCAGACCAAACAGAGGGACAACTGAGGGGGAAAGATGAACAGAGAAATTTGGTTCCAAAAAGGGATAGTCCCACCAAATGATGGACAGTTAGGTATGTATGCACATTAGGAGCGTAGACTTCTCTCTGAGTTTCCTTATTTATCTAATAGCCCTGGGTCAGTGAAGCAAAATTAATTAAGCCAGAGTCAGCCAGGCAACCTGCATTTTTGGAAGCAGTTCTACAATAATAGGTTCCATTTTTCTTTAGCATGTTTCCAATAACTATCGTCCTGCTAAACAAAGCTATAATGCCTAGGTGGTATTTCACAAATCCAGACATGGAAAGAGCTGTAAAATACTTAATGTGCAACACAAATAGACAATAATACATTGTTTTAATCTGTTTGTTCTTACACCAATGTAATTTAATCTCGTTTGTGCTTTTATTTAACTATGCAATTACAGTGTATCTATAGTAATCCGCAATTATTCCTCCTCTTACCTCATGGCCATCTTTATTTTCTATTTATGTTTTTTGTTTAGCTTCCTTTGCATCATAGCTGTGTGTATGTGCCTGTTTTCCTGATACACTCGTCCTAAACAAGCATTTATCCCTTAGGGCTGGTGCAGACCTAAGCAATCTGGGGCGCATGCCCTAGGACCGCGTGATCATGCACAATTGCACGCAACGATTGCCGCACAGCCCCATTGATTTCTTTCACAAAGATGTTATTAAGTTTTGTTTTTCAAGATAACAATGTAGAAAGTACATCATAGCATTGAAATGAGTACAACAAAAGTTTTTCGGAAATTTGCTGACATTTAGAGATCTCGATATCCATAGAGTAAACAGTAAAACTCATAAGATGATAAGAAATAAACAATAAAATAAGATTAGGAAAATACATGATGTCAATCATATAACGTATTGTGATATGGCATTGAGATTATCAATGGTTGGGCCGACGAGTCCGTGTTCAATGCTTGTCACCTAGTGGGTGACATCCCTTGGACTCAGCCTGCGGGTGACTTTGTACTATCATGGTCAGAAAAGAGGTAAGGAGAAGAGAGGAGTAAAGGGACAGTTCTCCAGTGGGAGGGGAAGAAGAGGAGGGAAGGGATGTGGTGTCGGTCGTCTCCGCGAGCCGCGTCCCCCTGAAGCCCCAATCGGTCAAACGGCTGTCAGGCTCTCCCGTGGCAGGGATGGGTGGGCATATTGTATCCAAGGATCCCAGGTTTTCAGGACGTTCGTTTTTCTGTGTATCCAGGAGGATGCTAGACAGTTTCTCATTGATAAAGAAGAAATCTATCCTGCGTCGCACCTCTGCGAAGTGTACAAATTGCTTTTTCCATGCCTGAGCTATGGCCTGTTTAGCAGCTAGCAGTATGTATACTGCAAGTTTGTGTTGTGATTTTGTGAGAGTTGCTGGTTTAAGATGCAGGAGTGCGAACAATGGGTCCTTGGGTAACGTTGTCTGGACAGCCACATTGATTTCAAAGGGGTTACATCCGCACGGCAATTGCAGAAAAAAGGTACATGTACCTTGTTTGCGACACACAACGCGCGGCTGTTTTAGCCGCAATGGTGTTCAGTTGCACGGGCGGTACCGCAGCAGGAAACTGAGCGATCCGCCCAGCGCGAGTGTAGTGCCCTTAGAAAATAATGGCACAGCCAGCGCTCTCGGCAGTGGTGGGTGACTCCATGACCGCACAGCAATTGGTGCGGTATGGTGCACGATTGCCCCACAGTCACATATAGTCCAGCTGTGTCCACGTTTGGAGGCAGCTTTACTGCAAGGGACCTTTTGTGTTTTCCCTGGACAAAGGCTTTAAAGCTAAGCAAATACATTTCAAAAAATACATTCTAATTTGGGTATTCATTAACACAGGATAAAGGAAAATGGGGCCAATGGCAACCACCCAAAATTATCTACCACTGAGTTATGAAATACCATTCCTCTCAAACCCTAGTTTGATGAATTAAATTTATAGAATTGTATTGAAGTCCAGAATTCTAACAACCTCCATCTTACTTTTAGAAAACATATGATATAAATGTACTCATAAAGCCTTATGCAGGTTACCTTTAGTTTGGATACAATGATGCTAAAAAGACTTAAAGCTGAAACCACTCACATCACTTTTATTTAATTATATATTTAATTATATATGTTATATAT